AAAAAATCTTTTTCTCTAAATAATTTGAATTAACGATGCCAAACTGGCACCCTTCACATTGACTGCACCACCATTTCCCATCAGTGGGGCTAATATATATGGTGGTTTGGGTTTTATAAAAGTTGATGTCCACTACAACTGGATAACATTACTCAGGAAAAAAGTAATGTATTTTTTTTTTTTAGGTCAGTGCAAACATACTGGTATTAAAGAGTGAGTGGGAATCCCTTGAAAGCAGAAGAATCCCTCTGATGTAGACATCAAATGATACCTTGATGAATACATTAGTTGAAGAATAATTTATGGCTGAATAAATTATTACTGCATTCCCCACAATTCATGAAAAAGATACAGCTCTTTTAATGAGTTGTAGAAAAGTGTTTCATTTGTATTTCTGCGTATTCCAAAACTCCTCTTCTGAATTTAATCAGGGGTACTACATAGCCCCATTAGATTGATTCCAGGAATGATGTGGCTACAACTCCCAGAATTCCATTACATTGGAAGAGAGTTTCCCAAGCTATCATCTGCCATCGTCCCTAATCACTGAATGTGGTATCTGAGGATGATGACAGCTGCAGTTCAAACATATTGACAATATTAGATTAGAAAAGGTTGGCAGGATTTATTTTTTTATATTTCAAACCAACATTCTAATTCAATGAAGCTATCAAGTTTGCTATTAGGAGGAATGATGATCCTGGGATTGCTGTGAGATATAATTTTCTGGATGCATGAACTAAGAATTACTCTGATAGTTCATTGGGAATTGATTAGACACGTTCAGATTCTTAAAAAGCTTTTTGTTTACATAGATTCCACTAATATTTAAGATCTATTTAATAAATTGTTCATATAGACATCCTTTTTACCAGTATGTACAAACTGCTATAGGAATTGGAATTCATACTACTGTATCAGCATAATACTGGGGTGAGGGGTGGGGTGGGGACATTTCATAAAAAAACAGCTTGTACAATGATTTAAACAAGATTTCTATGGAACAAAGGAAAGCATTTGCCTGTATTATTGAGAACTAAAGCTTCTGCAAAACAGGCTGTGTCACTTTCATTAGTGAAGCTTGAAACCTTACATTCTCATTCCAGGATTTCCCATTTGTGAACATTTGGTAGCTCTGCTCAGATCAGCAAGTTCTTTTGATTAAATCAACATATCACTGCCTCTCATTGAGGCAAGTTTTTAAAAGCTCAAAAGAAATGCAGCAGCCAGGTGAAGATTTTACAACACAGGGTGGGAATGCCAGTGAGTTGACTCTTGATACTGCAAATGTCAGTAGTGGGAATGGCTGTTGGAAGTGTGGAAAAAGCAGAAACATCTGATTTAAAAATATTTTTTATACCTGAATTCTAAGCCAGGGTTGGAGGAAGAAATGGTGATCAAAACAAACATAGCAGGGAAAAAAGAGTAACAGTGTACACAAGGAGCCCCACATGTTTTGTCACAAGGGAGTTAATTTTGATATTGACTCTGCCCCCACACAACAAATACTAATGCACAGGAATCCACATTTTATTTCCATCCTTGTCACAGACACGCATAAACATTTAATATTTGAGTATACAAAGGAAACATGGAAATAAAAGCAAATGGTCTAGCTAGTTGAGGAAGAATGCCAAGAAAACTCTTGTTAATTCTCTTATATGCCCCCATATAAAGTTCTATAATCAAATAATCTTCCCAGACCAAACAAAAAATTAAAATTGCACACTCATAATTATAACAAAAAAAGGAATATATGCATACTTTATTTTTCAAAACTGGATAAAATATAAATTTATACAAAAATGGCAACTAATGAAATAATTTTACAAGCCATGCTAATTCCCATAAGCTAACATTTAATCCCTTTTTTACTACCCAAAAATGGTGAAATGGACTATAATGCTCCTTATAGAATAGAAATAAACAACTGGGAGATCAGACAGAAAGGATCTAGTTATTTTTTTTTTTTGACGATTTTCAGAAAGGCTTAACATGAGAGAAATTAAAAAAAAAAAGATACCTCTCCCCTGCTACAACCTTAAACTGAATAGTTCATTCTGTTATCCATGCTACTGCAAATATCAATTATGGTCCTCTTCATGTTCATCACTCTAGCTTACAGGAATTCATCTGCAGCTTTTCCAAAGTGGCTTGCCAGTATGTCCAATAAGTTACACTGCATCTTTATCAGAACTAAAGTGGACTTCTTGATTCTCACCCAAAATGGCTAATTCCTACACTGTGCAATTTTTTTTTAACCAAGGAAGTGTTTTATTCTTCCACTTCAACACATCAATTAAAGTAATACAGTAATGCAGGAAGCAATCTTTAGAAAGTCACAAACTAATAAGGAAGGATGTTACATCTTCTGTAATTTTGTTTTTAAACAAAAATAACCCCCATTAAGTTTACATCCAAGCTATTGCACTGAATTATAAGGTCTGGTTTATGACTACAAATACAGTGGGGCAAAAAAGTATTTAGTCAGCCACCAGTTGTGCAAGTTCTCCCACTTAAAAAGATGAGAGAGTCCTGTAATTGTCATCATAGATAGACCTCAACTATGAGAGACAAAATGAGAAAACAAATCCAGACAATCACACTGTCTGATTTGGAAAGAATTTATTTGCAAATTATGGTGGAAAATAAGTATTTGGTCACCTACAAACAAGCAAGATTTCTGGCTCTCACAGACCTGTAACTTCTTCTTTAAGAGGCTCCTCTGTCCTCCACTCAATACCTGTATTAATGGCACCTGTTTGAACTTGTTATCAGTATAAAAGACACCTGTCCACAACCTCAAACAGTCACACTCCAAACTCCACTATGGTGAAGACCAAAGAGCTGTTGAAGGACACCAGAAACAAAATTGTAGACCTGCACCAGGCTGGGAAGACTGAATCTGCAATAGGCAAGCAGCTTGGTGTGAAGAAATCAACTGTGGGAGCAATAATTAGAAAATAGAAGACATACAAGACCACTGATAATCTCCCTCAATCTGGGGCTCCACGCAAGATCTCACCCCGTGGGGTCAACATGATCACAAGAACGGTGAGCAAAAATCCCAGAACCACACGGGGGACCTAGTGAATGACCTGCAGAGAGCTGGGACCAATGTAACAAAGGCAACCATCAGTAACACACTACGCCGCCAGGGACTCAGATCCTGCAGTGCCAGATGTGTCCCCCTGCTTAAGCCAGTACATGTCTGGGCCCGTCTGAAGTTTGCTAGAGAGCATTTGGATGATCTAGAAGAGGATTGGGAGAATGTCCTATGGTCAGATGAAACCAAAGTAGAACTGTTTGGTAGAAACACAACTCGTCGTGTTTGGAGGAGAGAGAATGCTGAGTTGCATCCAAAGAACACCATACCTACTGTGAAGCATGGGGGTGGCAACATCATGCTTTGGGGCTGTTTCTCTGCAAAGGGACCAGGATGACTGATCCGTGTACAGGAAAGAATGAATGGGGCCATGTATCGTAAGATTTTGAGTGCAAACCTCCTTCCATCAGCAAGGGCATTGAAGATGAAACATGGCTGGGTCTTTCAGCATGACAATGATCCCAAACACACCGCCTGGGCAACGAAGGAGTGGCTTCATAAGAAGCATTTCAAGGTCCTGGAGTGGCCTAGCCAGTCTCCAGATCTCAACCCCATAGAAAACCTTTGGAGGGAGTTGAAAGTCCGTGTTGCCCAGCGACAGCCCCAAAACATCACTGCTCTAGAGATCTGCATGGAGGAATGGGCCTACATACCAGCAACAGTGTGTGCCAACCTTGTGAAGACTTACAGAAAACGTTTGACCTCTGTCATTGCCAACAAAGGATATATAACAAAGTATTGAGATGAACTTTTGATATTGACCAAATACTTATTTTCCACCATAATTTGCAAATAAATTCTTTCCAAATCAGACAATGTGATTGTCTGGATTTGTTTTCTCATTTTGTCTCTCATAATTGAGGTCTACCTATGATGACAATTACAGGCCTCTCTCATCTTTTTAAGTGGGAGAACTTGCACAATTGGTGGCTGACTAAATACTTTTTTGTCCCATTGTATGTAGAAAATGAAATGTCCTTCTAAATGTTGTTCAACTACAAGCATGACAAATGGTTATCCTGGCTGGGGATAAGGTGAGCCAAAATCCAGTCACAGGAAGCCACAGATTGGGCAACTAAATCTATAAAATTGATGAATTGTCTATTCCTGTTGGGATAGATAAATGGAATCCATGTTTTGCCTTCCATGTATCTATGCTGATTTGTTTTATTTTTCATATTATAGCTTTAAACTGTTTTATTGTGTTGCAAACATTTTTATAAACTGTTTTGAATGTGTTATTTAAAAAGTAATTATCCATTTCCAAACAAAAGATAATACCTCCATCAATATTTCAAATGGCAGATGAAATTGGAAGATATTAAGTGCTACCCTATACTAATTCTGTTTTATTACATATGGCTATGCTAGAATAAATTAAAACAGGAGTGTGTTTTAGGAAACCCAGGAACTGTCTCAGCATGTTGTGTGAACGAATGGCTGACTTTCCTGGGCATGGGTTGCTATGTGAACGCGTTAAGTGTGTTTTCCTGGCTGAGTCCAGAAGGAGGAGTGTTGTTTTAGTCGTTTTGGGTTTGTTTGTTTGTTTCAATCCACCCTTCCCCAAGCTCCTGCCCTCGGGGGTGGGGGTGGGAGCGGCGGGGGCTGAAAATTCCTTTATTCTTCAATCTGCTCATCTATAAAGGTGGCTTAACCAGAGGGCTTCCTCAGCTTGCACACATATACAGCCAATATACGGCAACATACACACATAACCCGCAGTTACTTCTCACAGGACCTCTCTTCTTTGTTGTCCTTCCAGGCCTTCGGGTACACAATTCACTTTCCCTCACTGACCCCGGCTTAACAGGACCGCAGTCAGGTCCTCCTTCTTCGCTCCATGCCTCCCCAGGATGGTCTTCTAGTTGCTAAGGCAGCGTGCCGCCCTCCTCACCTGCTGAGCTATGCTCAAACCCTCTGGCTTCTCAACCATTTTCCTCCCTCCGCGCGGTCCGAGTCGGCTCATGTGGACGGCGCTCCCCTCTTGCCAGATCTTTTCAGACGCGAGGTGCTGACGTAGGAACTCGTCGGGTAAGAGAGCCTAGGCTCGACAACTGCCGCAGCCATCTTTGTCACGGGCGGTGCTGCCCTCTCTTCTGACCGCGCCCCACTGTGTTCGAGGGGGCGTGGCCTCGCGCCAGCTTTCTGACTGTCCCGAAGCGACGAGATTCGAGAAAAGTGATTGCTTTTGGTCTTTGCTTCCAATCAATTCTTCCATATCAAAAAGCGATTGCTACGCAATCGTTGATGTCATGTAGCCGATTTTTTTCTTTTGCAATTAAGTCGCTTGAAAATAAAATCATTACAAAACCCACCGGTTTGTGTGTATGTGCGGAATGCATTGTTATTATCATTATTGTTATTATTTAGCTAACGTCTCCTTCATTTCCAATTTCCTCAAGCGTCTCGTTCGTGGATTTTAATATTCATTGGAAAGTTTTTAAAAGGCTCGCGCGATGTTCTTTTACCAAGCTATAATTATGAAGGTCGTCTGTCCTTAAAATTGTGAAACACGCGATAACCATCAGGATTTTATATAGCCTGCAAAGGAATTTTTCAAATGTGATTAGATCGCCAGAAACATATTCCTTTGAGTTCTTCCCAAATATATATATTTTAAAAAACAAGGAAGGAATGATGTAAAATATGGGGCAATATGACCAGAAGATGCATTAAAATGAAATAATGTCTGAGGCAAATGTATTAGAGATAAATGATATTGTGTAAGCACTGTTATCCCCTAGTATGATCAAAAAACGATAAAGAACCACATTCTGTTATCCATGTAAGACAAAAATTTGGACAGAATTTGAAAGACACATTTCCTAGCCAAACAGTCCAAACACATTTAAGATGTGACCCTTAGGGTCATCCATGTGAAGTTTAGTTCTTGGTTAACTATAGTGTGGTGAATTGCTGACTTGATCTGTCTCTGGCAATTACAGGTAGTCCTCAACTTAGAATAGTTCATTTAGTGACAGCTTAAAATTACAACAGCACTGACAAAAGTGATTTATGCCCATTGCAGCATCCCCAAGGTCATGTGATCAAAATTCAGATGCTTGGCAACTGAACCATATTTATGACAGTTGCAGTGTGATCACCTTTTCTAACCTGACAAGCAAAGTCAATGGGGAAATCAAATTCACTTTCCAACGGTGTTACTAACTTAATAACTACGACGATTCACTTAAAAACTGTGGCAAGAAAGGTTGTGAAATGGGGCAAAATCGCTTAACAAATATCTCACTTAGCAATAGAAATTTTGGACTTATTTGTGGTCGTAAGTTGAGGAATACCTGTACTTACAATTCTTTCATGGGCATTCCAATAATTTTTTTGATCTCCTTATCTGTTGTCTTCTACATCTCTCAGCCTCCCAATGTAAACATATTTTCTACTCCTCCATCTACAGGCATTATATACCCCAAATATGTAGGTGTATTGTTCTTAAGGAAATAGCTTCTATATTGAATCCAGGACTGATTGATTGGCTGTTGTTTTAGATAGTAACTTAGTAACTATCTCCTAAATTTTGAAGGCATATCTCTTGTTCCTTTTGCTCTTTCTTAATGGTCAGGTTTGACTAGGGTTACCTCTGACAATCTTTTTGTCCTCATGTCCACCATCTGACAGGCATAGCCTTAAAATCAAGGGCTGTATTGTTCAGTTTTTTGTGTAATATTTATGCTGTCTCTTTCTGAACAGTTTCTCTCCATGGCGCAGGGCTTTATTAGTACAATAAGCATTATCCACAAGTTAACAAACTCCAATCTATGACTTTGATTAGTACTTCTGGCTGGTTCTTCTGTTGCCTGAATTGACAAGATCTTAATCACTTACAAACTGAAAATTCTAGCACATTCCTGCAATAGAAAAAAAAACAGTCTTTCTGATGCTGGAAAAAGCAATTTCATATTTTTCATTGTAATTTTTTTTTGATACCAAACAAATTATCAGTGTGTTCCCCCTTTCTCCCTATTTGTCTCCATTCTAATTGTGCAAAAGGTAAACATTGTATCTTCAGCTATTTGGTCACCCAGCTATATTATCACTGGAAAAGTCATTTTTGTAATTCTGGTGTTTGTTGTCATAAAAATAGATTGGGGATTGGGGAGATCTACTGTTATAAACCAAGAGGGAAGATAATTTGAGACCCCACTGAAAGACACCTTTTCTCAAAGGTTGTCCAGTAAAATATTCTTATGATATGTTGTTACCACTCAGGCTGAATCACCTGATAACCTCTAGTCTATGCAGCTGGGAAGCCTTTCTAAAGGTCTTATATCCTGTCAACCCAGGAAACTAGAAAGGGCAATTGTCTGGATTTTTCTGCCTAACACCCAGCAATCCAGGACCTAACAAATCTTCTGTTAATATTGAAACATTAGGAGTCTTGTATGTATGGAAGTTTTAATTCTTGCATTAAGCCATTGAAAATAAATCTCTAGGCATTAGTAAAATAGAATTTAAGAAAACACAAAGAAACAGTCACATACAGAGCTTTCAAAATAAAATCAATACAACCAATTTAGTTAAAACTAGTTACATAACCTCCTTGAAAATGCTCTTGGATTCTAGCTCAAATGCATTGCAAATCTATTATTTGGCTTTTTTGCAGAAAAGTGGGTTTGCAGGTCATCATTGTTTGTCTTTTTCTTTGTTTTTCCCTCCTCCTTGAGTGTTTATCTGCAGTTTTATAATTAGGAGAGATAAGTGAAAACTAGGCATTTTGGAGAGCCACCATTGCTTTGCTCCATCAACTTCAATGTTTCAATTCCGATGAACTATCTCTAGTCAGCAAAACTAAAAATTATCTGTTGGGGGATACTGGTAACAGTATCTTGGCTTGCAAGGTAATATCTAGATTAGGTTCCTAACTTGCATAGATTATCGTGGGCATAGTTGGGTTAAAACTGGACTTTGGTTGTAAAACAAACTTTGCTTATGCTTGTGGCATATGGGCTAAAATATACTTAAACTGGGCCACAATATACTTAAACTGGCCAATATTATCCTTAATGTTAGTAGGGAATGCTGTATATGGCCACAGTAAGAATGAAGTTGGTAACCAAGTCCACATCTCTCTTATCCAAATGTTTTATGTAGAAACCTTGATTCGGCAAAACCACGGATGAAAGAGAATCAATATCTAAGTCTATCTGGGGACAATTATGGCTTATGGAAGATGAAAACTTGAATATATGAGAAGTACATGGTAAAGAGCATGGATTAACAAATTCATGAAAGCAGCAAACATTGTTATGAGAAACTATGAGAAAGAGGGAGTGGAGTCTATAATAGAACTGAATGAAAGTTGTCTGTTGTTATGATGTAATTGATGAATATATATTGGAAAGTGAATGTGTAGATTTAATTACGATTAAAAGGACCAAAATATATGTCAGAAGGTATTAATTAATATTGGATATGAAAATTGGATTCATAGGTTGATGATACTTGCATGTTGCAATGCAGTATATAGTGATAATGAAAGAAACATGTGATCTGTTAGGTGATATGAATGAGTGGGAACAAAATGAGGGAATACAAAAGACGACTGGGCTATTTGGAGATTTGAGAATCATGAAAATGGTGATTTTCATGAATAGATGCTTAGAAAAAGTTCTATTTAAGTATATCAATTTATACACACATGGAAAAAGAATAATTTAAAAACTATGAGTTAATTAGTGAAGATTATGGGGGAAATGAAAAGTTCTGCATATGAGAGACAGACCATTATTTGATGGAATGAGGAATGGATCTTGAAAAAAAGTGGTATAGTGATTTGTAAAGAATGATGTTATGCAGTGTTCCTCAACTTGCCAGGGGTAATATTTGTAACAATATCATGGCTTATACAAGGTAGTCTCTGAAATTCTGGAAGCTGAAGTCCACATGTCTTCATATTACCAAAGTTGTGAAATACTGTGTTAATGTAAATGAGATTTAGCTGTATTTCATTTTCCTTTTTCATATCCCAAGCATGGAATTTTTTTTAGTTTATAATTTTTTCTTTTTTATGCACATGGGGAAGCTAGATTAGATTCAGAGGAGACCTGCTAGAAAGGTAAGGGGTTTAGAAATCAAACTGTATAAACAATTTTTAAAAGATCTGAGCATGTTTATTTTGCAAAGGAAGTGATATGATAGTGGCCTACAAATTCCTAAAAGGGTGTGAGATGCAAAGGGAGTGGGCCTGTTCTGTTTAGCAACCAAGCGGAAGACAAATACAAATGGGTAGAAATTAAAATAAAGGATATTTAGGTTGAATAGTAGGAAGAATTTGCTGACAATAAGATCTGTCAAGGACTGAACAGACTGCCTGGACCAGTAGTGGATTCCCCCTTGTTATGCACTCCTGTTACTTTCCTTTGTGACCAGAGGCAAACTCACCTGACCAATAACCAGCCAAACACAGTGAGGGCCTATTGTTTCATTTATTGAAATAAGTGGGGAGAGAAGCTATCAAAGCTTGGTTCTCTCCAAAGTTTCAACCCAAAATATTGCCTTCTTTATATAACCCTGTCCCAACCACCAGATCCCTCCTCGTTCCCCATTGACTGAGGTACTATGAGTTACACTCTTTTCGACCACCTCCTACATATTTCCTAATACATTCCTTAAGTATACTAAATCTAAGGTGACCAACCGTCCTCCTTTAGGGAGGACAGTCCTCCTTTTGTGAGTTCTGTCCTCCCTCGAACAGTGTCCTCCTACATGTCCTCCTTTTCGATATTTGAAGACTAATCTGCAGGGCTTTTTTTCCCTCATAGAATGCTCAGAATGGTGTTCCAGCACCTTTTTTTGATGGTTTTTTTTTCAACTTTTTTTCAACTTCAGCAGCTGTGCTGCTCCCCCTATTGGCTTTCGAAAGCCAATAGGAATTGCTGTTGAGCGCGCCAAAATACCCGGCCGGCAAACTTTACACTTGTAAGTTGTCTGCAGTGAAGGCGAATTGGCAGCAACTTTGCACTCCTCCCTGCTACCCAACTACACCATCTCCTAGTTAGTCCCGAAGATACCTGGAGGAGACAGGAGCGGCGACGCCACAATAACTTTCTCTTGATCTTCGG